CAGGTAGGCACAAGCTACCCATAGTGCCCTTCTTAGCAGCGTGGTGGTCTTTAGCAGGTTTTCTTTTTCACACCTCCTGCTTAAAACAACAGACCCAGACAGCTAAAATAAACTATGCACACAAGCACACACAAAATGTTTTACACTCACAGTTTTTGGTTGGGTCTACATACACACCCTTGGAATCTGGAATATTCTAATCTCAATATCTGCCTCACAGCTTTGGAAAAACATCTCAGTTGCCAAACCAACACCTAAGAAAACACAGCAAATTCCATCAATTAACAGAATTTCATATAAATATGCAGAGAAGTCAGACATTAAGCAAGAACTAAGCGCTTATCTATGTCAAATATCTACAAGCAGAAAATTTGAAATTAATCCAAAACAATATTTTGTTTAGCACAAAAGTTGGTGTGTGTCTGTCAAATTGGACAGGAAATAGGAAATGGTGAACAGGGCGGTCCCTCTTTCTCACAGCAGAAGAACAAACACTTTAAGTGGTATAAATTCTGGGTACATGGCATACCAAACAGAGCAGAACAGGTACGGGGAAAGAAAAAAAACTCAAGAGGGCTGAAGCATACAAAACATGGCGTCCTACATTTCCACTACTTCTATGCAGTACTTGAAAAGATTGATTGACTCAATATCTGTATCAGCCAAACCCAAGTTTTCTAAATCTGCCACCTTTAAGTGAAGAAGTTATAAACCAATAAGTAAGCTTTTTTCTCTGAATAAAGGCATTTTCCGCCAGTTTTTCCTGTTTGGGCAAAGTCTTTTGGGAATTGGAGCACAAGGAGATTATAAAACTGTCTAGACATGCAGTAAAAACATGGGTAAAACTGTTGGCCCAACCAATGTCACCATCAGACGTCTGCCATTGTGACATACAAAAATGTGTTTTTTCTATATTTCTCAGGTAGTTTTTCGTTCAACCCAGCCAGCAGTTTTACTTCCAAGGAAAAAAGACATTCACTCATTTAGCACCTTATTTGGGAATGCAAAATAGACACAACAAAATCAAAGTTAAACTGACATGAAAGTAGATTTTTCTCTTATTGTGAAGCAGTCTTATCATCTTTTGTTATGCAAGCAAACAGACTGAACTGCTTTCGTCTCCCTGCTGTCACGCAAGACGGGATTTTGATGACACTGATACTTAAGTTGTGTACTCTCCATTCTTTTGCTCTTTTTGCCCTTTTCTCTTAGTATAAACAAAAAGGAGAATTAGCCGGATCTCTTGAGGCCACTGCACTCCCACTCTTAACCAGTTTAAAAGGACTTCAAGAAAAAGAAAAAAAGCCTTCCCTGAAATGTCACGGGCACAGTATTGGTCAAAAGTGTAGATCTGAGGGTCCTGGTTTGAGACAGGAGGCATGGTGGGACTGTTTTACTGTACCTCAGCTGTGGTTTCATTTGTATGTTTATCTGGCTTTACACAAGCATGGGGCAAACTTCATGGGGAAATGAATGTTGCTGTGTTTTTGTAATGCTGACTAATCCTGCTGCCGTTTCAGTGTCGTGCCTTACTTCCATTATCCCTTTTCAACATAGCAAAACTGTCAACCTGACTCAAAGTCACCGACTGGATTCAGTGTTAGGCCAGTGAGCACACAATCAGTTGGAATAGATCAGTTCATCTCAGAGTTGCATGGAAAAATGCAACCGCCATCCAGTGCCACCTCACAAATGTTTTTTCTCTCCTCTTTCTTCCTTTGTTTCTTTCAAATACAATACTGAACAAATCGGCAAGCTCTTGTCTGCAGGAATGATCAGGATCACTGACCAAGAAAAACTGGCATCTGAGTATTTTACATTACAAAAGTCTCCCTCATTACTGAAAGATTATTTTCATAAAAGCTGCAATCTAGGCTTCGCTTTCCACATTATAATGAAGTGAAACCAGGATTTGATCTTGCATTAGTTATCACCAGTTACATGTACTTGAGGTTTAGATAAGAACAGAGAAAGTTTCCAATTACAACGCCATCTGAAAATCTGAATCAACTTACTACTCAAAATACTAACTTTTAATTTAAGTGAAACAATTGAGAAATAACAAACTTAACAAGAAGTGACATCCCATCCTTATTCCATAGGGTTTAAAAAGATGTCACTGATGTTGGACAAGAAGGCCTGGCTCGCAGTCTTCGCTCTAATTCATCCCAAAGGTTTTTTTCATCGTGTTGAGGTTAGGACTCTGTGCAGGCCTGTCAAGTTCTTCCACACCAATATTGCTCATCCATGTCTTTATGCACCTTTCTTTGAGCACTGGTGTGCAGTCATGTTGGAACAGGAAGGGGCCAACCCCAAACTGTCACCACAAAGTTGGGAGCATGAAATGTCCAAAATGTCTTGGTGCTAAAGCATTAAGAGTTCCTTTCACTAAATTGCAGAGCTCAACTCAACTCAAACTCCACACCATAATCCTCCCTCCACCAAACTTTACACTTAACCCAGTGCAGTCAGACGAGTAGCGTTACCCTGGCAACCACCAAACCAGACTTGGTCAGTTAGACTGTTAGACAAGTGTGATTTGTCACTACAGAGAACATGTCTCCACTGCTATAGTGTAGTGGAGACAGTGGCGGCATGCTTTACACCACATCCAGCTCTTTGCATTGTACTCGGTGATGTAAGGCTGTGATGGAGCTGCTTGGCCAGGGAAACCCATTCCATGAAGCTCTCTATGCTCTCTTCTTGGGCTAATCTGAAGGCCACATTAAGTTCTGAGTTATGTACCAATTTACTCTGCAGAAAGTTGGTGACCTCTGTGCAAGATGCACCTCAGCATCCACTATCACTTTATTCGTTCCACTTTGACATAATACAAATAAATATACTGTAATACCAGTAACAGTTGACTATGGAATACGTTATACACCTATGGCTATGGAAGTGATTGGACCATCTGGATTCAATGATTTAGACTGGTGAGCACTTTTGGCAATATTATACTATCGCCAAAATAAGAAAAGCATTCTTTGTATCTCAATAAGCTTTTTGGAGCATTGTCAGATCATGCTTAGGTAACATGGGTCATCCAGACTTGTGGAGCCCATACCTGTTTATTTATCCTGTCAGTAAAGCAGTAAAATATTAAACAAAATGTAAGTTAGTGCTATAAATTTAAAATAAATGGAAAAAAGACGCATGTTGATTAGTCTTAGTTTTGCAGGCCACGCTATATGTACCCATCAAGGATAAAAGATGTATTTCAAACATATTTCTTTTACCCAGACTCATAATGAGAAGGCTTTTGTTTTACCTCCTTTGTCTGAAATGAGAGAACCATTGCTTCAGTAACTTGCAACACATTTTCCATTTTAGCACTACATGTGTGCAATTTTAGGATGGAAAACGTGACAGGCATAACTAAAGGGGCTCAATAAAGTGTCATTAGGCCTGCTTTCCAACCACACAAAGAGGTCTTTGACGAGCCATAACTTCTGCTGGGATGTTTATTACTAGTCGCCCAGCTGCATTGTCCACACAGACAGAAGACCCATCGCTTTTCCAGCAAAGTGGATTTCCTCTAAAATTGAAAACCATGTTTTATGAACAGCAACCCAGCACTCCAAAGTATTGGAAAATCCATTTGGAAAGAAAAAGAAGCAAACAACCTGTTAAAAAAAAAAAACTATTAAAAGACATATTAGAAAGGAGTATTTAAACAAAAACAAGAACGACAGAGCTTAAAATAGATGCTGTGTTGCTGCCAGGGGCTGGCAGAGGAGAGTTTTCCACATTAATCAAAAGTGAGTCTGTTGCACTCTGAGCATGCTGCAGGCAATTAGAGAGATACTTTACGTGACCATTACCACGATTAAACCCATCCACCTCCACCAGCAGCCCAAACACAACACAGTCCCTGGCCATAACACAAACTTTCAGGTTACCTTGTGAGCTTACCAAAAACAAGAGCTTAATGTTAGATTTGGAAGCAACGGGCTTAATAAACCTCTGCAGCAGCAAAGTCGCAGAAGCAGTTACAAAACGTGTCCACGCAGTTTAGCTCATCAATTATATACTGACACGGTTGTGAGCAATTACACAAAAACGACACCCAGGCTGGAGAAAACACATTACAAAAACAGGCATTTAACATTTAATCCAAACTGCTGACGACAGAAGTGAGAGTGGGCTTTTTACTTTTTCTAAAAAGCCATCAGTCGTTCTTCCAGAAAATTAACCAAACCTCATTTTAAGGGAAATGTCAAAACATTGAAATTCCAGCCTTTCCAGTCTTTTCGCTGCAGACTGATCGACTTACTTGAGATCTGAAGAGATACTTGAAGATTGAACCTTGCGGCTTGGAAAATGGAAGTCAGTTTATTTAGGAGATAAACATTAATATATTAATGGCTTGTAAATGCATTAATAAGTGCACTTGCAACTCAATATAAATGTCATTCGGTGATTCTTTTGATAAGTTTCGACACTCGCCTACATTTGTTTTACTCTCTGTAGGTTAAAAGATACAGAGGATGCTATGATTGGCTGAAATGTGCATGAAAGTGATCAAGTCAATGCCTTTGTAAATAAACTTACACAAAATTAAAGTACACACTACACCACTACACAAACATGACAAATAAGCAGGAAGTGTGATGAGAGAATACCTGCTACTGTTTAAGCATTCTTCAGACAGACTGCTATCCCACAGTCAACATTTACTCACAGAATGAACTTGCTGTGGGGTTAAAGCTGAGCAGAAGCAGCAGGTGAAAGACAGCAGGAGGAAACACATCCTTTCTCAACAACACCAGAAGTGTCTCAGTGGATACTACCAGATATTTAACATTTAATAATTCAAAAAGCACGTGCACTGTTGCCTCTGGGCACGTTGGATAAGCACTGTATGCTGTGAAGCTTTTTTTTTTTTTTTTTTTTAATGAATCAGCCACATTTACCGGCCATGTCAGCAAAAGTGCTTAAAGCCTGAATATTATATGACATTGATTGAGAAGCTGTTATGGGCAGTGTGCTTCTCTTACCTGGTGTGCTTTGGTTTGACCCTGTGCCATTTCCTCATTATCTGATACCTTGCTCTCCATGTCAGCAGCTAGGCTGGAGTCACTCTGATTCAGTCAAATAAAACAACACAAACACACATTTAACAACAAAAAAAGTCCCACAGTGTTGTGTGTTTCTCAACTGATAAATGACATTTTTTTACACAAAATAGCCTTAGAGAAATCACCTCTCACCTTGCAGTAACCAGCTAACTGTTCTGCAATACTGCGGATGTGCACCAAGTACTGGTTAAGCCTCCTTTGGTACTTGAGTGCGTCGAGTTGAGCCTGGTTCTGCAGAGTTGACACCTGGGCTAAAAGGCACTGCTCCCTCCTGTTCCACCTGAGCCTCGCTATCCGGGTTTCGTGTTCCAAAGTTACGCTTCTCTCCTCCAAAGCATCGGCGACAGTGCGGAGCGCCTCCACACAGCAGTGCTCCCCTTTACTTACGTCCAGACCGGACAGCAGGAGACCGCATCCTCTCTGACAAACACCTTCACCGCGATGTGGCTTTGTTTGCGACTCCATCCCGCCTGGGGTTAAAACTTGGCTCTCTGGGTCCTTCTCCACACCAGCACTCGGGCAATCAGCGCACATAGTTTGCCTGGGCAACTTTTGTACGCGGAATAACGAGCTCGGACGAAGTTATTCCAATTTACAAGTCTGGACACATGAAGGCGTGCGCGCACTGAAAAGTTTGAGCGATCTGGGTTGCTCTCGCTGAGCTGATGGGCTGCGCCACTTTTTTCAGCACATGACAAATGTGAACAGCAAACTTCAACCTCCTGACTTCCTGCTGTTTCTGGACAGGGTCGATATCTCTGTAACTTTTTCTCTTCACAGTCGATATAATGAATTTAATACCAGTTATGTATGATGCGCAATAGTTATTTAATCTTATTTGATTATTTGATTTGTCAATTCGTTATCCTGTCATATATAAGTGAGCCTCATCATCATGTTGGTATTTTATTTTGCGTATTTTCTCTCAGTTTTGTGCAACTTCTCTTAATTGTAATGTGATTTCATGTGTTACTAACCTTTTCCAACAGAGGTCGCTCAATATCCCGCATAGTCTGAAACAATTAACTCTCCCTCCAGCTTTTCAATTAGGCAGTCCAAATGATGATTGCAGTTATCAGTTTGCTCCTCCTCCACTATTAATTTTCTTTGCTTATTAGTACACTACAGTAGTTCTACAATAGTGAAAATAGTCTCAGGGGTGCGATGCACTGGCAATGCAGTTTATAGACAACTACATTAGTCCATGCAGCATGGCATGCAGCAGCCATCTCACACAGCATCACATTTCAGATCTCCCTGCAATGCATTCTGTTTCTAGTCAGCTGTTGCACCGCTTTAAAGTGTGTTTTGTGTTTTGCGAGTTGTGAAAGAACTGGCGTAGATTTACAAAGGCAAAAGTGCAATCTGTCCAGGGACTGCACACCTTTCTCCAGAAATGCACGTTTTATTTTTTTTCCCACCATCACTCGGTGCAAATGAAATAGTAGCACTTTGTTGTGTAAATCTGTTTTAAAAAAGTGCTGCTACATTTAAATGATTCCTGCTGTGATCTAGAAGAGCAGTAGGACTCCTCTAGAGCACAGCACCAGACTTTAACAATTGCTGTATGTGTGTTTTGTGGAAAGTGTTACACGGCCACCTGTCACAGAGGCCATATGCTTGGAGTGATAAGCCATTAAATCATGGCAGAAAAAAAGGTTATCTCTGTCTTTTGTTCTCTCTCTCTCTGATTTCACAGGGGTAAAAAAACTGTTAAGAACCCTGGGTGAAACAGCAAGATGGCCAAAAGCCCAAAAAGAATTCGACCTAATCCAAGAAAAGAAGTGATAACAATTTACTTTTCATCTGCTCAATACCTGATAGGACACACAACTCCAACAGCTGTTTCTCCTTGAAAAAGTGGAACAGGCCTTATCTGTAATGGAGGCCAGAATGAAACACTATCTCTGATATATTTGGTACCAGCTTTTGGTACCAGTAAAGAAAAGCTTTTTTTCTCTCTAGATAAAAGGGGGACACACACAGAAACTGACAAGAACATGCCTATACATGACAGATGATGCTTTTGATTCTCTTACTTTATAGAGCATTTTAGAGCTGAAAGTGTTCTATCCTCCTTGTGAAATGCCTGTCCTATAAATAAAGAGTTTGTATTTATCTGTGGTACTTTTACTTGAAAAACGACACTTTTTTTGATGCCATGTTATGGACCTGTAATAGTAAATCGTTTCAAATAATCAACTGAAAAGCAGTACAAGTCATTTTTGGGGCATGTTGATGAGCATTCACTGAGCAGCTGCTGCAAGAATGACAAAGAAAAGAGCAAACAGTATATGAATGTATAGTTAACTACACTTTTATTGTTCCTTGTCCAGCCAATGAGAGGTTTCAGTTTCATCCCTCATATATGCCATTCATGTCCAACGAAGCACTGAATTCCAGGAGGCAGCCAAACATGCTGCCACAGCCACCAATGATACTATCAGATCGCAGCCATTGCATGTACCAGACTGCGGGACCACTTCTGAACTCAAATGAGTGAGATTCCTTTAGTCAGTTTAAGATTTTCTCTCTCGCTTAGCAGCTAACGAACATATTAGTCTAGGATCTACTCCTTCTCTGACGTAAAGGGATGCCACTCAGGTATGGAATGTGTTTCACATGAAGCCGAGAGGCCGAGAAGTCGCTATGATGTGGAAGTGTTGCAAAGTAATGTACCACTTGCTCTCCAATCTCATGCATGTTACAATTTTGAGCCGCTGCTTCTTCCAAAAATGTCAAAGTTCAAGGCATTCATGCATTTGGCAACTCTTTTTTTTTATGTTTTGTGGCATGAAGAAAAGTCAGGAAAAAGCACTTTGTGGTGGACATTGATATCGTCACAATGTAAGAAGCATGACCAACGTCAGTCACACAAGAGAGAAATCAGAGGAACTCAAAATGTACCGTTTGCTCCTCCAGTTGAGAGAAATAAACTCTGAAACTGTCCAACCAGAGCTGGGCGGAGACATACAAATATAATATTAAAAAACAAAAAAAATGACAATGTTTATATATCTCTGATCATATGTTAATAAAAAGACAAAAATGTATTCAGAATAACATCGTGAGCTTTGGATGAGCTCTTACAGCTGACTCGGATGGCTTTGCTTACCTTCTGATTTTTAGAGAATGAAAACAGGTGCTAATGCAATGATCCTGTTAGAAAATATAAAGTAGCCACAGGTAATTCAGACATTGCACAATTATAGGAGGGCATGAGCGTCGCTACCATTCACTCTCACTGTTAATAGGGACTCGCACTCAAAGCCATAAATGAGAGATATTAAATGAAACTGATCACATTAAATAAAATGCCAACATTCGTTTACAAAGCACCAGGTGGTACCACTGAGGTCCTAATGATACAGTCAAAACAAAGTAGATTTAGTTTAGATCACGGGCGATGTCTTTCAGTCTCGGTTGAACATCAATCTAAATGTTTCTGCAAAGCCTTCATCACAGTCACACACTGTTCGCCGCAGTTTTACATTTTAAACTTCCTTTAGACGTTGTTGGCACTTCCTGCTGCTGTGGGTTGGTTCCAATGGATTCTGTATTTGGATATAAATGTGCCAGAATCAGAACACTCTGAGCCATTTCAATCGTCTCTTCATCAACATGCGCACAGGTATTAGTAAAGCTTATGTTACGGTTTGGAGGTAAGCAGCAATTGCATGGTTAAACCAATCCACTTCTCTTTAAAAAACCTTGTTATACTAGACAGTAAAACAATATCAATTACTGATTACTTTTCAGCATGGCATCATCTGCTCATTTCTCTACCTGCGTCTGAAAGGATGCAGGCGGTTGAGATTTGATTTGACTGTATCTCGTTAACAGAGGGTGTGCTTAATTTAAGAAAAAAAAAATTCCACCGAACAGCAAGCCATGAAACACATGAAGATATTTTTTTAGAAACTCATACACTTACCCTTCACAGTTATTTGTTTACCTTATATTATGGAATGCACTGTAGGAAGAATTTTCCAGAACGTCACAGACCAAACATACAGCATCTTAATAATAATAAAGAACAGCGTTGTGATTTAAAATGACCAAACAGCCAGCCTATCAAAAGTGCAGCGTTTGCACTTCCAGAACGTTTTAAAACAAGTTGCTGTGAAGGATAAGTGCAGTCATTTATATAAGGCATATTTTTAAAGTTGACAGAACTCCTTTGACTCTCCTCCAAAGAGGCCATTTTTGTGGATAAATAAGGAATGTCTTTGTCCTTTTTCCAATTTTTCCATTTCTGTGTCCGTTTCCACAAACGTATTCCAGAGGAAAGAGCCAGAACATGGCATCCCAGATTACAGGGCGGAACTGAAAGATTGTGGAAAGAGGCTCAAAGTCCTTGCAGGAGTCTCCTTCACAGGAAGTGAAGACAAAGATGGCGCTACATTCAGAGGTTCAGGCAGAGGAGAGCCACAAAGAGCAGGGAGAGTACGCTGAGAGACTGGGCGGCCGAGACACCCCCACCTGACAGAGAAGGAGAAATGTAGGTATACCTTGATCAATAGCTGGAACCTACAACAACAACAATGAGACTGCACATCACCCCTAACCGTGCCAAGACACTGAGTGTCACTGTTGTGTTTGCAAAATCAGTTTCAGCCTGCTAGGTCAGGGGTGTCAAACTCAAATACACAGTGGGCCAAAATTCAAATCTGGAACAAAGTCGTGGACTAACATTAATATTTATTGAAATATATTTATTGCTCCAGATATAAGAATGAATTTTTTCTTATGGACTCAAACACGTTTTGCTGAAAAACTGAATATGGAACAAGCAAAGCTTAATACTAAACTATATATATGTTAGCTGTATAATACCAGTAGGCCAGCTCTAACAGTCATTTGGTATGGCTTCGCGGGCCAAATGTAATTAGGCTGCGGGCCAAATTTGGCCCGCGGGCCAGAGTTTGACACCTATGTGCTAGGTGATCAAACTGTTCATTGTCCATAAACTGTAAGTAATCTTAATGACACCTACCAGTATGCTTTTAATTATATTTTTATATATTTTGTCTTTGTCTTAGTATTTGCTTTCATAAGCCACTGCAACACTTTGGTAACTTGCAAACATAGAAGATGGAACAGGAACGTTATTATTATTGTTGTTATCAACATCTGGAAATACTGAAATACTGTACTCCCCACCAATCCTCAACCATCAAACTCAAGACCATGTTTGGAGTGTGAAGTGTGATATACCCCATCTGTGTGGATAATGCCTTAAATGCCCTTCTATTTGTCAGTGCCCTGCACTTAAAATCCCTCACGGCTGAAATTTCCCGGTCTGTGAAATCACGCTGTCAGGTGGGGTCTGGACTGAATGATAAGGGATAAGGAAAACCACAGGAGGGGTTTCCTCTTCTCATCAAGATCAATTACAGAAGCTTAAGCTCTTCTATGCAGTCGGCCTGCCCCGTCAGTCCATCAGCCAGAGAGAGGATCCAGTCAGCGGGCTATCAAGGCTTTAGTCACGGGCCATCTTAGCTTTCCAATCTAAAGTATGTAACCAGAAGTGACAGCTCTGCTCTGGCCCATGGGAACCCTCTAGCTGTGACAAATGATAACCTGCTGCATACTCTGAACCTGTAATCCCACCAGAAACTGGCAGGTCAGGAATGAAGTGTGTGTCTTTCCCCACAGGAATATGGATTTTAAATGTCATCAAATTACTTAAGTCTTATGTTTTTCCTGTGAGTGAAACTAAACCTGGGTGGTGATGGAATAGAATTTTCATGGGTGATTAGTTTCATGGAATAAGAGTAATTTAATCTTAAAAGATAACAATTCAAAAGGAATTTGAAGGAATGTTTATCTTTTCTAAATGTGTTCTTTCAGGTATTTTAAGCCACATATGTTCTTCCATTTAAGCACAATCAGACACCATGTTGACAGAATTAAACACAAAAGCCAACTTAGGAAACTAGGGATCTTAAATCAACTCAAAATCACTTTATTACCTGTGATCTGGACTGTGGTCGTAGCCCCATCTCCTCCTTCTGTGTGTGCCCGGACCTCCACCACATAGTTCCCATTTGGAGGTAGGGGAAGATCAATGTTTCGCTTGTAGGTGTTGTACAGAGTGCCTGTGGTTTGGCCCTCTGGCCTGTATAGTACCTGCGTATGCACATATGTTTAATGCATATTAATAAATAACGAAAAGGGTCTCAGCAGCTATTCTTTTTATTTAAGAGATGAAACAAGAATGATGAAAAGATGAAACTCACTCGGTACCCTTCTATTGAGGACTCATTAGCCATCGGTTCCACTTGTTCCCAGGCAATATTTATTGACTGGCCCTTCACTTTTTTAGCTATTATTTTGGGGGCTCGGTCTGGTGCTGGTGAAGTTAAAACAAAGCAATCATGAATATGTTTATTTTTAAATGGCTCAAA